ATAACAAAAGGCATCCCAAATACCTTCAGTGACGCTGAATTAATTCTAAATATTTAGTACACAAATTTAGTAAGCCTAAAGGAGATTAATTTGCCAGAGTAATCCAATTAAAAGATTTCTAAACTAATCTTTTTGAAAAAAGAAACTAGTTTAAGCTAGAGGAAAATCGTTTTTATGACAATGATTTATTGCATTGGTTTATTGTATAGAAAGGTTGCCTCCCTTCATCGGAGATGACCACTGTTAGCCAACAGCACAGTACCTGAAGTTCAAAACGTATATGTATATATGTTGTTCTGATTTTTTTGAGAAACATTCATTTATCACAGAAACCTATCCTGAATATTACATGTAAGGGAATTTAGTTGCTTACAAGCGCCGTGGACTTTTTAAAGTGCTAATAGATTTATGGTCTCTTTTCCAACGCCCATCCAGAGTAATTAGCACATATGTTCTAAATAGATGATAGTTTTGTGAGCAATAAAGCAATTACCCATCGCTGGAGCTGACAGTTCCTTCAACTAAACTCCAACCAGCAGCTAATTGGAAAAGTCATTTCAGCTCCATTGTCTGCAATTAGTCCTGCTAAACTACTACACCCAAACTAACTGGTTTGAGGTTTATTTATTCATTTCTATTTGCATTTACAAACGTTTACCAAATAACGCTTAACTTTTCCAGCGATTAGATCATGTTTTCAGAGTCTCTGGGGCTGATTTTTTTAAGCATGATCTCGCTTTCCAGTTCCTTCTTTTCCATCAATACTGGAAGGTTCAGTGATTCATAAACATTTGTCCACTATGCTGAGACCGTTAGTTAAAACAATATTTCCTCAGCCATTCAGGAAATGTAGCCAGTTTAGCCAAATGTGTGTGTGTGGGTGGGGGGGGGGTTAATGCTGCTAAAATACTTTGTATTTCCTTTCAACTTTCGCTCTGCATTTGGGGATACCTGGGTGAAGGGTTTCTTCCCTAGCCCACCGCTCTAAAACAAATAAATAAGATGTTCTGATTAACACACTGCAGCCCGTTTATTTGTGACAAAGCATGAGCAAAGATTAATCAAGGGAAATAAAATTCCCTCAAAAGAGTGCGTTTACTTTTTAGCAGGAGGGTTTTTTTAAGCAAATTTGGAATAGGAAAGCCCTTTCGCTGTAGTAATCAGAACGCTTCCCTCCTGAAGGTGGAAAAAATTAAAAGGCATTACATGTCCAGGACTTGTGCACAGTGAGTGGAAAAAATGTGTTAAACATCGGTTTGACGCCCCACCGGAGCTTCAAAATATATACCGGCTGGGTTTCTTCTACTTAGTTTAATCTTTATTGGACTGAGCTCTTTCTTGCCTTCTATTCACCAGAACTCCCAGTAAAATGTATCATTTGAGAAGAGGGAAGAAGGGCTCTTTAGCCCTTCATTTTAAACAGCAGACTTCAGCAGGTATTTAGCAGGGAGGCACTCCAAGGAGTTTGAAGTAGGTTTCTTAAGTCAAGTCTCCTGCCCAGGGCTGAGTTGGATCTGCAAAGTAGAAGATTTGCGTGTTGGGATGGAACTTGTAGCCTTAGCAACAAAGTCTATACTTAAAGGAATTTACAGCTAAAGCATCCTGGACACAGAAAGAAATGCGAATATCTGAGGGGTTAGGAGCAGCAGACAGTTCTTTGCTTAGAACTGGAAGCTTCTCCGCCTCCATAGCAAAGCTTTTCTATTTTCTAACAACTACACATTTTGTTAATATTTTTCGTTGGTCTTTTACGAATAAATCTGAGAGAGTTTAACAATGTTTGAAAAAGAAAAACCAACAACTTCAGTTTCAGCTAGCACAATAGACTTGCTAGAGAAATTCTCAGCTCAATAAACCGTAGTTAATTGCCCAACTTCAGACAGGCAGTTATATGTATTTGTGGAAGAAAAGCTTCATTCACAAATGTCTCATATTCCCATTTATGTGTCTGTCTCCGATTTACTCAGTGTCCTGACAAAATTAATAAGCAGTGCCACACACACACACAAATCTGTGATCTGCGGATAAGATTTAAAATAATTGTTGACTGTCATTACATGTTATTATCATAACGATATAGCTACAGTCCCGTTCCAGGACTATCAGTTCAACCGCCAGGGTCATTACGAGTTTAAAATTGGGACGGATCTGTATTGTAAAGAATATTTACATAAGTCTATGTAATACCATAAGTCTACACCCATGTTATATCTACTTCTGATGACTACATTCCTTGTCTCTAAACAGTCGTAAAGGACTGAAAGCATACAAATTAGGGCCCTATGAATTGGAACGGTCAGTTTAAAACTTTAAATTCCATGTGCGTACATGTGTCTGTGGGTATGTATGTTGTACAGAATGTACGTACACACACGTGTGTGTGTGTGTGTGTGTGTATATCCATATTCACATATGCAGTTCTAGAGTAAAGGCATTTTCGTGGCTCCCAGAGTTTCCTTCTATTACGAGCGATTAGATGGTGTCTATTCAAAGTTGCTGATCCAGAGAGAAAATAAGAGTAGATAAAAGGAGATTTCAAGTGACCTCCTCGTCCCTTTCACACCAACCTGAGCCCCAGAATAGCCAAGGATCAACTCGGACAAAAGCCCTTTCCTTTTCCCTTTCAGCTTCAGAAGATTCAGTGCAAGGGGTTAACAATAAAACATATAACTCTAACCCAGTTTGGTAGGATCATGTAATTTTGTATACTTTATTAACTACAGCTTTGGATATGCCCGCTCTTAATTCCCCAGAAATGAGTAAATAAAATATACTTAGCATGATAAAATACCTAACAGTTATTTACAGCTGGATGCGGTCTGCTTGAGCGATTTGTTATGTTTATTCTATTTCATTTAAACTTTGCCTAAACAACATACCATCCCTCTGAACACCGATAGAATACTCTGTAATAAACATATCTGACTACTGACAGTTTAAGTGAAAATGCTAAGGTTTATTACTTAGATCAACCTTATGATGGGGTAAACATGATTGTATCACTACTGTTGTAACCAGCAGCACTCCTGTATTTCCTGAGCAAAACACTTTTACGGTGTTTTATCTTATAGGCAAGGAGAAAAGTGACATTAAATACTTCAAGTTATTCGAACAGACCTTAGTCTGTGAAAAGTCCGATTCAAATCTACTTGTGGTGGACTAATCCCTGTAGTAAAAGAAATAGGAGCTTTGACAGGTAACTATTAAGGCAAATGATTATATAGTGCAGTTGACTGTATTGTCAGGACAACCTAACAACTTTCAGACTCGTTTCCAAACGTCAACTTTTCATCAAAAGCCTATCCCTTGTAGGAATAATAAATAACACCAAATTCATCCTTAACAGAAGTCAAGAGTTTAAAATATGGTCAGATGGATTTCAATGTAGAGTCTCGTGTTAATGGCTTTGTACACATTTGTTTCTTTTGGCTTCAGGCACTCAGATCACCGCAGCTTTATTTGTGCCGAAAGTAAATATTTGATTCTGGATTCACTAGTGTGCGCGAAATGATTCCCAGATTTCCCTTATACAGAAAGGTTTGATTTGCATCAAGGCGTCATCAATTTCCTTTCCTCTCGGTTGCTCAAAAATTGTCAGGATCCCTTACCCTGTGAGACAAGTGGCCCTCGGTATGGGTTTTTTCACCTTACATTCATTTCGGTATACTCAAGCATTTCTTTGTGGTCTAATGTCTGGGTGGATAACTGGAGAGAGAGAGAGAGAGAGAGAGAGAGAGAGAGAGAGAGAGAGAGAGAGAGAGAGAGAGAGAGAGAGAGAGTAGTAGTAGTAGTACGTACGT